AGTATCGACCCTGTGAGAATTATTATTATTATCTAAGTTAGTATCGACCCTGTGGGAATTATTATTATTATCTAAGTTAGTATCGACCCTGTGGGAATTATTATTATTATCTAAGTTAGTATCGACCCTGTGGGAATTATTATTATTATCTAAGTTAGTGTCGTAGATTTTCCATTCGCACTAAATACGTGGCCCGGCAAGGCCAGGTGGTTAGGGCACTCGACTCGCAATCTGTGGGTCGCGGGTTCAAATCCCCGTCACACCAAACATGCTAGCCCTTTTAGCCGTGGGGGCGTTATAATGTAACGGTCAATCCCACTATTCGTTGGTAAAAGAGTAGCCCAAGAGTTGGCGGTGGATGGTGATGACTAGCTGCCTTCCCTCTAGTCTTACACTGCTAAATTAGGGACGGCTAACGCAGATAGCCCTCGTGTAGCTTAGCGCGCAATTCAAAACAAACAAACAAACTAAATACGTACAATTCTGTTATTCCTATAAATCCATCGGCAAGTTTTGAAAATTATTTACACGTTTTTAGAAATGTGAGCTAACGGTTTTACATGTAAAACGTCTCCTGGTGGGTAAGTTTACAGATTCGGTTGTTTGTTGTCAAGCGTAAAGCTACACAATGGGCTGTCTGTGCACTACCCATTGCGGGTACCGATACCTGAGTTTTAGCGTTATAAGTCTTCAAACTTATCGCTGAGCCACTGAACGGCTGTTTACGTTTATGGACTCAGAAAGCTAAAATAGCCTATTGTATAGCTCTGTGCAACATAACAAACAACATAAATAATACACACACACACACACATATATATATATATATATATGAAAAAAGCAACTATATATTTTTTGCACAAACACAACCAGAAAATCTTTCCTGCGCGTGTAACTTAACTTATTCGCCAGAGAAAATGCCAGAAATTTTTGACATTAGGTTTAAAGTAATTAAGATTTAGCCAATGAAATTTGTTACTACACAGTATCTAACTATAAAATAAATACACCTTTAATTATTTTTTTTTCGCTACTAAGGTTTCATATCTTGTTTTATGACCTCCACCAAGGCCCGGCATGGCCACGTGGTTAGGGCGCTCGACTCGCAATCTGAAGGTCGCGGTTTCGAATCCCCGTCCCACCAAACATGCTCGCCCTTTTAGCCGTGGGGGCGTTATAATGTGACGGTCAATCCCACTATTCGTTGGTAAAAGAGTAGCCCAAGAGTTGGCGGTGGGTGGTGATGACTAGCTGCCTTCCCTCTAGTCTTACACTGCTAAATTAGGGACGGCTAGCGCAGATAGCCCTCGTGTAGCTTAGCGCAAAATTCAAAAAGAAACAAGACTTTCACCAAACAGACCTTTGCCTAAAGTTTTTTTTTTTTCAATTGCACAATTATATTTTAACTTCATCATTTGTTAATACGTGACGCCTTATTCCACCTCATATATTCAGGCCTAGTAACGAATGATCCAAAAATGAAGAATATTCTAGTAAATACATTGATTTAAAAACTCTGGAATGGAATTTTATAATCTGAAATAAGTTTTTTTTTTA